AAAAAAAAAAAAAACGATGACCTCCAGACCTGACCACGAACACGTAGCTGCTATTTTTTTTATATATCTTGTTGGTTGAGATTTGATTTTCCAAATAAAGTAGCTGAGGTCAACAGGTTAATGTCATGTGGCGTTCATTTAGTCCAATAAACATCTCCCCGAGGACTTYGGGACAAGAAGAAACAAAACTGAAGAGAATGAAAGTATTTTCTTACACCAGTTCCCTGCTGAGTGCTTCAGCAGAAAAAGAAGTGACCCTAAAGTCATTCATGTGCAAAGCAGGACAGGACACATAAAGAGCTGATGTGGCGAACAGAGGGGGAAGCAGCATCGGGGAAAAGTGCCAGAAGTTTCCTTCCTTGGCAGTCGAGTCAGGAAGAGGCACCTGGGGCTTCTAAAGGCAAAAACATGATTCCTAAACACTGGAACAAAATACAGCCTTCAGGGACAAACACTGTACCGTCAACTCCTGTTTAACATCARCAAAGAAAAGCAATAAGGTTTACGTCTGTTGTTTCATGAACCACTGGACGAATATTAACAAAACTCTAAACGTAAGCGATGAAAGGACAGCTATTTGATTCAAGATGGCYGCCACAGCTAAGCTAATTTAGCAAACACAAAAAGGCTTCAGCTCAGCAAGTTTTAAAGATATGGAGCCAGTGGTGGGCACAGTTCCCATAAAGCACTAATAGGGAACTAATTTCCTGATTAGTGCTTTAGGGCTTTCGCTATTTTTAAAAAACCCATAAGTGGATTAGCACTAAATTTATGGGCTAAATTTAGAAGCACTAACTGAGGTCTTTAAATGTTATTGATCAACATTATTGTTCACAGTTGCGGCTGAAAGCTGTCACACATTTTGTTCATATGCATGTCACATATCTATAAGGTCACGTGTCAAACTCAAGGCCTGCAGGCCAAATGTGGTCTGCAGGTGACTCCCATTTGTCCCACCWAGGGCACTAAGTGACAACATTCAGCACACAGTAAATATTRTCTCATGTTGACTGAAGAATGTTTCATGTGTGTCAATTGGATTATTTTAGTGCTTTAGAATTAGCTTTTGCTAAATATTTCAGCGCGTTAGTGCTTTAGAATTAGGGGACCTAAATATTGAGTTAGTGCTTTAGGATTAGTGCAGCTAATACTTAGATTAGTGCTGCCCACCACTGTATGGAGCTAAAACTTAGTGTGGTAGTAGCTGAGGCTCATACACATTACAAAATATACTGAAGCGTAATGTTTGCTTTAACCCTGAAATATCTCATGAACCACTGGACGGATTTTAATGAAATGTCCAGGAAGTAATTATTGGACGTACCCGCACGACAAATAGCATTCGGAGTCAACACGACTCAGGATGTTCACCACAGCCAACAATTAGGAAACACTGCAACAGTCAACTACTCGAAACATTCTCTGAGCACTATCACATCAGAAGATTTTGCAATATTGCATGAGATTGTGCAGAACGTCATTTACAAGACTTTAGCAAAACACAACTGCATCATTTCCAAACATACAGGAAGACGATCTTAGTCTATACTGGCATTAAAGATTTTATATTTTGCTTTTAGGCATTTACTAAATCAGAAAGTATCCAACTTATAAATGATGTAGCCCCAAAATCACACAAAAGTGGAAAATGCAGTTTAAAAAAAAAAGCATGCAATTTTCTATTTTTAAACAGAGTATTATGCAAAATCAACTTTTTTTATCTTCATATCATGTCATTCTTTGGCAAAGAGTTTTGCTTCTCATGCATGTTTGATAAATCCTTGAATCTCCTGTGGAGCTGCCTAAACGCTTGCTGGTACAAAGCTCCTCCCTAGAGCATAGTCCTCAGCCAAAATCCAGCCCTGTTGTGAAGATGTGCCGAAGTGGGAATGTCAGAAATGGTAGGAGGTTATTAAAGGGACAGAGGGCATTTTCAAGGCGTTTAGATAATGCTGCCCCTTTAAAAATGGAAATCTATTAAGACGCAAACCGGGAAGATAAGAATCTGATGCTTTATTGACTCAAATAATTTTATGGCGATGTAATTTTTCAAACTCTCTCTTTCCATCACAGAGTTATTTCAGGACACCAGCTGCTGCATCAGGCGGCTGGCGTTATTTGTTTCAAAGGAATGAGAGAACAAGTGTTAAAGCACCAGGCTGCGTGTTCAACCAAAATACTCTGGAAAGAAAATCCCCAGTAATGTTGCCTGTCAGAGTCCTGCCCCAGCTTGTTGCTCTGGCGTTGGCCTCCAGACTGCTGACGACACTTTTCACCCCCCCACCCCGAGGGCGAACCGCCTCCATCGGCTTCAAAGCCAACAACACAAGTCTGATCAGTGTTTTGTTTCACATCTGTCCACATTTGATCCTTGTGATAGTCCACACACAAACTGACAGCAGTCTGAGTTCTGCTCACCAGCAGGATACGATGTGGACGTGTTGGGAAAACTCCCAACGAGGCGTGTTGTGATTTTCCTGCGGTTGTTAAAATAGATGCTCAAGTTTTGGGTGTGCTCATCTGTTGACATAATTACTGTGCAAGCAGCAGAAAATGCAACCAAAAGGCAATCTGTAAAGTAAAAATTAAAGGTTAAGCTGACTGAGAATACATTTCGTGTGCGTTTTTGTTTTCTTGCAGAACAGCTCCTCCTTGGAAACTGGTTTAGCTGCTTGCAGAAGATTCTCACCCACAGCTTGGTTTCATACTTTTATCTCTCCCAGACGAAACACCAAGGACTCCAAGCAACTCAAGCATAAACCAGATCGTTCTAAACACACTTTATTTAGCAAAACATAATCATTTCTTGTCTAATGTCAACAAGGCCAGTGTGGAAAAACTACTGTACATTAGTATTTATTGTATTCAAACCTATCAGTAAAATCAAACACAATATGATCATTTTTAAATCTGTAAACTCAACAAAAAGTGATCTAAAGTGCTTTAGAAAAAAAGACACAAGACAGCAGGCAAACTGATACTGTGATAAACAAAAAAATCTTTCCATTTTTCTTTTTCTCACAAAACAGTCCAGTGTGAAAAATGTAGAAATTATAACATTTGAAACAATTAAATACTACTGCGTCGCAGGTGCAATGTTATTTATTTCAGATTTTACCATATAACCCTTCAGCTACTCAAAGCCTGACGTCGTGTTTTGGTAATATTGTTTAAACCAGATGTTTGAAATCATTTAGCATCCTTTAAAAAACAACTTCTGACACCTTTCCAGCCCTCAAACCCTCAGTGTCGTTTAAAGGTACTCACTGCAAATAAAGAAATCAACCCTAAACTCTACCAAATGGTGCAGTTTGAAAGAGTTCATTCCAGCGGTTTGTGCAGTTCTGAAATGTGGGAAAGCACCAAATGTAAACAAAGCAGAAGCTCGAGTCACGTGAACAAATATGGCGTAGAATCGTGAAGACGTTTAGGGTGAACCAGGTAAGACAGCAGTCAAGAATAAATAAATATATATTGGGGATATTAGAGACACATGTCCTGCTGCTAATCTTGATAGGTGTTGTAAACACAGACCAACACATCCAAACTGTTGGAACGACTCTTCCATGTTCATGGTTAGTGCTGACCTACTTTCAGTCACTTTGAATATAAAATTATGCAGATTTTGTTCGTTTCTGATTTATTTTTTGACGGGTCTTCATGACTTTGCAATGAGTACCTTTATTCACGCTTCACATCATACTTGCACGTGTCTGAAACCTTCAACTCTTCTTACTGTGTTCCTCCTTTCTTCACTTTCTGACCAACGGGCGTTGACGTACGATCACGACCGGAAAACCTTAAAGCTCAGTTTTGGACTGATAAAACTCATCACGGTGAACAGAAGCCTGCAGCAGAACCTTAAATCCACCCAGGCAACATATTTTCCTTCACATTAAAACAACAATACAGTCTCAGTGGAGGCTTATCTCTTTTTTTTCTGTAGTCGAAGCATTTTCCTCCTTTTCTGGACCATGTCGTAAAGTTTGCCCAGGCCCTCGTTGAGTCCGTCTCCTATGATGGCACAGGATGGTTGTAGGTGCCAGGGAGTCGCAGGACCCAGTTCTTTCAGCGCCAGCAGTTTCTCAATTTCATCTAGTCCCAGAGAGTGCCTCAAGTCCTGCTTGTTGGCCACCACCAGCACCGGAACGCCCTGGTTCTCGGTGGTCTTGGTGATCTTATGCAGCTCCGTCTTGGCCTCCTCCATGCGCTCCGCGTCGACAGAGTCCACCACGAAGATGATTCCGTCCGCGCAGCGCGTGTACGGTTTCCACAAGGGACGAAGCTTCTCCTGGCCGCCGACATCCCAGAAGTGGAACGTGACGGTCCCGTTGCCACCCAGGGGCACTTTGACCTTCTCCGAGTTGAAGCCCCTGGTGGGCACGGTGTTCACGAACTCATTGAACTGCAGCCGGTACAACACCGTCGTCTTCCCAGCAGCGTCTAGTCCGAGGATGGCAATGTGGAAGGACTGGAGGAACGACATTCTCGAGCAGAAACCTTTTTGTTCAGACAGTCCATTCCCCATCTTCCCACATGGGAAAGAACAGGTGATTAGAGGAGGTTGAAGGCAGGCGTCCAGATGGATTCCTTAGAGGTCCTTGTGCTCCGAAACAAGATGCATCAACCTGAAAATAAAACACGTGTTATTCTGATGAGAAACAACAATTCATTTAAGCCTCACAGATCTTATTTCACATCATTCTTTTCCTTTGAAAAAAACAAAATTAATAGATCTAAAGCCAGAGTCATGCTAATGTTGGAAGCTAGTTTGCGACTCTAAATCAACTTAATAGACTCTCTGCTGCAGTACAACCGACTTCTGGGTGTTTGAGACCAAACAAGCCATGTGGCCGCATTCAGAAAGGCCAGTTTTTTTAAAAATCACAGTATTTTTGTGTTTACAAATCTGTATGCACATCAATTTGTCTTCCACCTCCACCCACATCACCTGCATCGGCCTGCTTTGTATCCACGTTTGATTTATTCTACTGGAGTACATTTTTGTTAAGCAGGAAGTATAATTATCATTGATCATGGGTACGATATTTTGACCTGGACATTTGTCTCTGATGTTTTTTTGTGTCAGAAACAGGTTTGACAACATAACTTAGGTGAGTTCGAGAAGCACCCTCTGTGGCCCGTGAAGAAACTGAGAACCAAACATTATTCTCCTATAAGAGCACGCATACGACATAACTGTAATAGTTATGGAAAGTCTTCATGCACATATAAACACCTGTTTGATTTAAAACGACTGTAATCTTAAAGTGTGCAGTTTAGCTAACCAATAACAGATCAGTACCAAAATAAATCACTTTAAGAAAGGAAGGCAGGTGAGCGATGCTAAATAAGAACAAAAATAGTCACTTTTTAAAGACATCAAACACCATTATAAAACTACATAAAGCAAACCCCCAAAAGATCAAACAATACAAATCAAAATGTGTTTTAATCACAATCTGATCAGTAATTCAAACTACTTTTCCCATCTGTTGTCTGACTGAAAACAAATGGTTAACAGGTGCTAACATGAATATTTCACTTGCCATACTTTAATAAGAAATGTCATTCACATAATATACGCTACTAATTGTTATGATGTAGTTTTAAAGGGTAAACACAAAATACCTCAATTGGACATCAGGATTAACCTGAGTCATTTCTTCCATTTTTTTTTTTCAACATTTCTAATTTCATAGCAGTAAAATAGCTAGAGTAGATATAAAGGCCTTAATTTTGTAAATGTAATGTACAGGTTCAAATAAATGTGGTTATAGCTCGATTTGACACATTRATTACATGTTAGGTTAATAGGTTGACGCTATTTATTTGTAACTGTATGGCAATGATCACCCCTTTACAATAAATTTATAAAAGGAATTAACTAAGGACATAAACAAATCTATTTATTTTCCCCAAAATCTCCTTACCTACCAGTTTGGGTCTTCCGGAGATAAAAGCATAAAGCCTAGTCCTCGTCTCTCCTGGCTTCACACGATCTGAAAACCAGCTCACGGTGTACTTCCTCTTATTTTCACAGCAACGAGGGCGGAAAAAAAAGCCTTCAGGCGCACCCTCCCTGCCTGTTCGCTGCGTCCCGTGTGGATCTACCGCTGATGACACCGCGGCTGTGCGTGCCCAGTCCGGCTGAAACAACGCCCACACTTGGCAGCCGAGAGCAGATTTGATTGGTCCGCGAATTTATTCTCTGCCCGCTGATTGGTTAAGACAGCTATCGCTCACGCGTCTGCTCGGAAGTAAAGATCACCTGTTGCCCAATGCTCTGCACGTCTGTCACAACATACTCTATTAACGCCTATAATTCTCAAGTTTAGGGATTTTTAAAACGTACCCTTAAGTATCCTTTACGTTWAATAGACTCTTCACTGTGAATAACAACCAGTAAAGCAACTTTACTGTTTACATTTCGAATAAACAACCCCTATAACCCTCAGTAGCGCTGAATGCTATCGGGTAAGTTAAGCTAGCAGCCGCACGAGACACGCATTAGTTTAATACAATTAAGACACAATTAAGACTCACCGTTAATTCAGCTGCAGAAACCGGCAGTTTTATTCGGTCTTGACGTGCGTGTGTGTGTGAGGACACAAGATAACAAGAGTGCCAATTCACTGTGGGTGTGTGTTCGTAGGAAACAGCGCCGCCCCATTCATCCGCATGTTTTTGTTCAAAATGATTGGTCAGAGAGCGGGAACAGCGCCACTGCAGCCGGCCGGCCTCAGATGGAAGATGAGACAACAAACACTGGCCTTTAGCCACCGACTTACATAACATACCCCTGTTTCTGCACTTTATTAACTCACCAGACAATAAAATAAGACCTCATGTTAGTCTAGCTGCTCATGTGGAACGGTAAAGGGTGCATTTTCATATAATTAGCTAAATTGGATTAACTGTGGGTCTGTTAGCAAAATATCTCAAGAACCACTTCACATATTTTAATGAAACCTGCAGGACGTAATCGCTAAATTAAAATCTAAAARTGATTAACTTTTGGAGCCAACCCATGCCGATATATTTGCAACAGACAACTGAACCTAAGCGGCACAAAAATGGCTACAATTCAGTCAACTTTACAAATATAGAGTTTGTAATTTATGAGGTAGTAGTTGAGACTGGTCCCCAACATAATCTGTGCACAAACTGATTGCACAAGGTGTTTGTTTACATTTATTAACTATTTGGAGTCACGTATGCCAATCTGTTAGCAAAATGTCTCATGAACCATATGATTAATTTTAATGAAACTAAAAGAAAATAATAATAATTTGGATGTACCTCTCCTCTACAACAGGATAACGTTTGAAATCAACCCAATTAAAGATGGTCACCACAGTCAACTCACCTTAAAAGACACAAAAACAGCCTATAATTCAGTCAAAATAACATTAAACCTGGGAGAGTCATTTACAGCACATGCTTTTTATTCTTCAATTTAAAATTACTTAAATTTCTTCTGGAATTAAACTGATAACAACCAAAACACATTACAGCGTTACCCTCCCAGGCTTTATACAGAAACTGATATTCCTGTCGTTTTATATTTAGCCCCCCAGTTCCACACAGAGTCACAGCCGACCCATTAAACCCATTTGTGCAGCTATTTTAGATATGCTTCAGACATGTGCTGGCTTCACATGTTTATAATTCTTCGTGCAGAGAATGAGCAGCTGCCAGTGGACCAGTGAGCTTTACGACGCTGCAGTCCGGTCATACCATCTGCCCATCAGCTGAACGCCATCAGAACCAGCCAGTATCACCCGCATCCCTTTCACTTTGTGGTCACTTATTGTTCAGGTATATCTTTAATGGCATCATGAGCAGGAGTTTATGTTTTTAATGTTTGTCTATATTTAGTGTCTTTAGCCACAAGTCTTAACATCAGCCAATAACGTGAGAGTTTACTCTAACCTAACCTAAATAACTCACTAACGAATGAGTGTAAAGGAAGCTGATTTTGGAGGCCATAAACTGAAGCTCTCACTATAAACAAAATGTGACTGAAATCATTTCACACAGCTGTGGATGGTCACAGAATGAGAGTACGAGAGTTACATTTTATACTTTAGTTTAGAATATTTAGAATTCAGATTGACAGATCTGTCTCAGATGCAGTTATCTAAAGTCTTCAGCAAGCTGGGGAGAATTTAGTTCCATAGTTTTGTCTTTATCGCCACCTTGTGGTCAAACAAAAAATTACATTCTGCATAACCCTGCATCTGCTATTGCCAGACTGGATGGATGGATGGATGGATGGATGGATGGATGGATGATGGATGGATGGATGGATGGATGGATGGATGGATGGATGGATGGATGGATGGATGGATGGATGGATGGATGGATGGATGGATGGATGGATGGGTGAGTGGGTTCATAGGTAAGTAGGTATGTGGTTGAGTGCAGGGTTCGACAAATCCTATTGCCCGACTGCCCGGGGCAGGTAAAACTCATATTGGGGCAGGTGGGTGTGTCCCGATGTAAACCATTTCTTTATTTTTTATAGGGCCATTTATTCGAAATATTCTGAAAATAAATGAAGAAAGTGTTTTAAAACAAGTATAGAAAGAATAAATCCTCAAAATGCTCCCCCCCACTGTAGAAAAGTTACGTTTTGCCGTCGTGTCGCAGGATTATTTCCTCCCTCCCTCCCGCTGCACGTCACGCAGAGTGAAGCTTTAACAACCTTTTTTTTTTCACCCAAGTTGTTGGAGAAAAAAACTTGTTTTTTATGTATTGTTACCCACAGAGATGATAAAAAGATGTGGATATTCGTTCAGTCATAAATCCATCTTGCTAATGTCGTCTTCTGCTCTGATGATGAAGATGAGAGCTATGGCAGGCCGATATAACATTTATTTGGTTTCACCACACTTATTTTCCAGTTATCTGAAATTGTTTTATGACTAAATTAGACATATTAGTTATTTAGGATAAAATAATAAAATGTTTTCTTTTATTATTTTGTTTTATTTACTTATTTGTTTTAAATTTGTAGATTTTTCCAGCTTGAACTTGTTTGTTTGAAGTTGATTTTTGAAAATAAGGGACACATAAGAGTATTTTCTTCACTCTGCACACTTTTAATTCAGGGTAGGGTTTACTTTGTTTTTTAATGCTGTACAAATTGTTTTGTTGTTATGAAAGAATGAAACAAATAAATAAATATACATCTTTTAATATATTTTGAGAAGGCAAAATACCCATATAAGATATCTCTAAGTATTTTCTGACTTGTTTAAATACCGTCAGATTTATCATTAGGTTGTATGGAGTTCAACATCTCTTAAATGAATCTCATGTCTTTAGATATGAGATTCACTATATACGATTCAATGAATGTAAATTTCAGACTTTCATGTTCTGTAAATTGTATTTAAAACAAAGCTGCTGCTGTTGATCGTTCTGTTTTTATAAGCAGCTCTCCCAAGGCCAGTACTCTAGGGGAAACATTGGAAAGGTCTAAAAAAAAGGTTTTTGAAGATGTTTTTGATAAAACAATTGACTGAATGTGAGTGACTCAGTCTGCAATGTTTGCATCTGTTTAATCAGATGTCATATTATGTACCTCTGTGTGTAACCATGTTAATATTTTTGTAGTACAAAGTACAGTACACTTTTTTTAATCACGTTTTGAACATTTTTGTTTCAGGCAAGTAACATTTGTTGTCACCTGCCCGACAGGGCAGGTAAAGAACAAAAATCTTGCCCAACCTTGGTTGAGTGGAAATGTAGATTGGTGGGTACGTGGTAGGTAAGTAAGTGAGTGTGTGTTTGGGTGGATTGGTAGGTAGGAAGGTAGGTAGGTAGGTAGGTAGGTGAGTAAGTGAGTGTGCGTTTGGGTGGATAGGTAGGTAGGTAGGTAGGTAGGTAGGTAGGTAGGTAGGTAGGTAGGTAGGTAGGTAGGTAAGTGAGTGTGTGTTTGGGTGGATTGGTAGGTAGGTAGGTAGGTAGGTAGGTAGGTATGTAGGTAGGTAGGTAGGTAGGTAGGTTGGTAGGTAGGTAGGTAGGTAGGTACGTAGGTAGGTAGGTAGGTGAGTAAGTGAGTGTGTGTTTGGGTGGATAGGTAGGTAGGTAGGTAGGTTGGTAGGTAGGTAAGTAGGTACGTAGGTAGGTAGGTAGGTAGGTGAGTAAGTGAGTGTGTGTTTGGGTGGATAGGTAGGTAGGTAGGTAGGTAGGTAGGTAGGTAGGTAGGTAGGTAGGTAGGTAGGTAGGTGAGTAAGTGAGTGTGCGTTTGGGTGGATAGGTAGGTAGGTAGGTAGGTGAGTAAGTGAGTGTGTGTTTGGGTAGATAGGTAGGTAGGTAGGTAGGTAGGTAGGTAGGTAGGTAGGTAGGTAGGTAGGTAGGTAGGTAGGTAGGTAGGT